AAACACGTTCATCTAGCCGCGTGGATTCAATTGAAGCCAATCATTCAATCAGACGTTCTCATAGTACGCACTCCGCCCAAGAAGACACCCCAAAGAAAACGCATCAAAGTAAGCGGTCGGTTGCTGACCCAAGACGCGATTCAAGAAGCTGTTCATGCCGCACAGTTGAAGCAAGCCAAACCTTCGACAACCGTAAGCGAAGTCCCCACCTCAACTGGCATTACTATGCCGAACGTAGAAACAAGCACTGGCCTGAGCGCGACCGCCGCTGAAATCGTAGCTTTTGTTGCATTTACTTTACAGCTTGAACAAGTAGGTCCCGTACTTTGTTATGAGGCGATAGAGAGGCTCTGGACGTTGTGGGAATGAACGAGATTAGTGTTTTGAGGGAGAGTAAATGTCGGTTCTGCCTCCAATTCATATATATTGCAACTGATTATGCAAAAGGAAATAAATTCAGTTCTGAAGTAGTCCTAACCGCACAACAGAGATCGTTTTGACCCCCACCAGCTGTTAATTTGATACTAAAAGCAATATAAAACGCAGCCCACAACTGATCGAGGCCGATTTTTTGGCCCAAACTTTGACAGAAAACTATTCCTCAATTATCACTGGTTGGCCGTGCTACTTATCAAAAAAAAGTAGGGGATCTCAGCATTTAAAACCTGCCAAAATCTTTTGTGTAGCCATAACCGTACTCGAGTTATGATCAAAAAAAAGAGAAAGTCCATCTGATTTTTATCCTTAGATAAAAATTTTATTTTGCGTTTCTTAAAAACTTATCATTTCTAAATTTTCACTTCGCCTCTCCAGGGGCCAAACAGTATAGGTCAACACGAAGGCAGGGATGTTCTTCTTAGAAAGCTATTTTGTGTTCACCCGCAAGAGTGACGCTGGTGGGTATGTATTTATTAACGCATCACCTGCGGTGCGCACACACAGCCGCGATTCGCATGGAACTGCTCTGGATTTTGTGCGACTAAAGCTTTGTTGTTGTTTGTTGTCATGGACATATTAATGAGGAATATGTAGCACCCTCAAGATAAATTACATACACTCAACTCCGATTGACAAAAGTTCGTGCTTCGTAGAGAAGGCATACTAATGTCGCGCCATCGTCAATTTTACTAGCACATGAAGGTAGTTCAAACCAATAACAAAAAATATCTGGAAAAAGAAGCGTTAACAAACCCAGTAAATTTTAGAATAAACCACGAATTTATTTTAAGTGAAAAATAAGTTAGCCTCGACAAAACGTTCCGATATTAAAACAAATCAATGCTTAATTAAACTATACACTCCTGGCCAAATTAAACCGGTCACCCCCACTTTTGGCAGTAACTTGACAACTACTGCGAATTTGGAACTGCGGTTTAGATATAGTGTTGCTATTATGCAATGCGACAGGGTGTTTGTGCTAACAACCTAAGTATTGCGGTTTGCGGGGTAGCTCCCATACAAAAATTCCGATTGTCTACCCGGCCCAAACTTCCGGCCACCTAGCCACTATAGTGAAATCAAGATAATTGTAGTGACGTGTCATGAGAGCACCTTGTGTCCAACTGTAGCGTCTGGTGGACTGCACTGGCCGTTAGCGGAAGCGCTCAATCCATTTTGACTTTTGCCTACCCAGCTAGATGCCACGTTGGCTCAGCAACGAAGAGTGAGGACGGATTCGGGGCTACGCGAGGGTGGGCTCTCCATTCCGGCTACTTCCTTGATTGCCAAACGGTCGAGAGACGCCGTCGAGCGCGCACTAGCTGCACCTCGCCATGGGCGGCGTACATCAGGACGGAAGCCCGTTGTGTCGGAGCGGTTGGCTCGCTTGCTGCTGCGGAAGGCTGCGAGTGGCAACTACTCTATTGTCCAGCTCAAGGTCGCGTGCAACTGCATCTGCAGTACCCGCACAATCAGGCGCCTCCTTTGTGGTGTAGACTGGATAGTCTACACCAAAATGGAGAATACGCTGCCTCTCACGACAGCGCATATAGCGCACCGCCTGGCTTGGGCAAAAGGCTATGGTGGTCATGCCCCACGAGCAGTGGAAGCGAATAATTTTTCAGACGAGAAAAAGTTTAATTTGGAAGAGCCGGATGGCCTCCAGAGGTACTGGCACGACGTACGTCATCCACCACGCACTACAGTGCGGCGACAAACGGAGGCGGGTCTGTGAGGATTTGGGGCGCTTTTAGCGCCAAGGGTAAGGCAAAGCTCGCAATTCCTGTCCGTCTCCACGCCTCGGCACAGTATATTCATACTGTGTCCGAGTTTTTGCTTCCCTACGCTAATATCAACTACGGTGTGGAGTTTATCTACCAGCAAGACAACGCGTCTATTCATACCTCGGCGGAAACCAAGACGTTTTTCGAGAAACAAGGAATCTATGTGCTGGACTGGCCAGCCAGGTCACCGGTCCTTAACCACATCGAGAACTTGTGGGCATTATTGGTGCGCAAGGTCGATCCAAATGGCCGCCAGTACGCTAACGTTTCGGAACTTTCTAGTGCTATTGAGAACGCGTAGAACAGTATTCAGCAACCCACGCTAGTCACCTTGATAGAGTCGATGCCAAGGCGCTGCATTGAAGTGATTGAGAAGATAGGCGCTAAGGCTCACTACTAATACAATCATTTTGATTCAATTATATTGATTTCACTATGGTGATTAGGTGGCCGGAAGTTTGGGCCAGGTAGACAATCGGAATTTTTGTATGGGAGCTACCCCGCAAACCGCAATACTTAGGTTGTTAGCACAAACACCCTGTCACATTGCATAATAGCAACACTATATCTAAACCGCAGCTCCAAATTCGCAGTATTGGTCGAGTTACTACCAAAAATGGGGAGGGGGGGGCCGGTTAATTTGGCCAGGTGTATAAGGATTCGTTTTAAGTTTATGTTGCAGTAACACCGGCTGTGCATGGTCAGGCGTTCCAATAGGACCGGTGGAACGGTTACACCCGAACCGTTCCACTATTGGCTAATCATGGGATGGGCTGGAGCACTATTGGCTGAAGGAATACGGCTATCGTGATTGCGCCACGCTCATAAGAGGACACAGAGGGGAACAACAGAGAGATAGTGTTTAGGAAGAGTTTTTTAACGCTATTATTTAACGTTAATCTACTCACTTCGGCTTTTGCCTCCAACCTAACAAGCTCTAAACCAACAGGTTAACAGCTGCACCTTACGACTCTAGCCGGAATGCCAGATCCAGAACGCTCAAGAATGCAGACCACAAAAAAAAACCGAAGTCCTCCCGGGTAGTGGGAACGTTTTCCACTAGGATTATAACACGCGAACAACCTTAGCTAGGAAGGGACTATTGGCGCAAATGTAAGTGTTCAAGCCTGAGAATAAGATCATGGAGGCGTGACTCGTCAACGACGCAAAGGCACTCGGCATCATCGCTCAAATACCAGACCAAGATCCAGAACGCCACGCGTGCCAGGGAGGCTTGGACATGTAGCGCTGCAATTGCTAGTTCTTACATAACATCTAGATTTTATGACGATATCCACTCCAGTACACCAGAAACAGGTAAACCATCCGAACCTGCATCGCCACTGTCTCTTTAGAAGGCATCATCAGCACCGATCACAGCTTGGTATCGAGGCTTGGCTTGATGGAGCACACTATTCTTTAATGCCAATATCGCGTTTTTTTGCTGCGCACGTTTCTTCTACGCGAGATTAAGCAGTGTGAAGTGCATACTCGTATCCTACAGTGGTCGTTGGGTTCGCTTGATCATTGACACTTGTATGCACCTGAGAGGAGAATGCTCGCGTTGGTCAGAATCTCCTGGATTTCTTCTGCTGTACGACAGCCTTTGACAGTAACTCAACTGCAATATTCACTCGTAATCTGAGCTACTACTTACTTCACGAGTAGTGGTTTTTGTCTCGTCCCAAACTTCTGACCACTTTAGTACTTTGAGCAGTATTTAACGCTAGATAGTAGCGCACCATTAGCGTTGGTACAAAGTATTGTCAATCCCTGGCTGCAAGAGCCACCGCACAACTTGAAACCAGGTAATAAAATAATCGATGGATTGACTGCCGCCGGAGTAGACCAAACATATTTATTTAACTTTGTCAAAGATTTTTATGCGAGATTCTTCTTACACACTTGATTGGAAACCAAAAATATTATTTTAGGCAGGATAAATTTATTTGAACTCTTGGTGCTTAACATAAAATCTCCGATCTCCGACTTTCTCTGAATTGTACCAAAAGAATGGTACGTTGGAGTAGGTAACTCTAGGAGCAAATATATAACGTTAAACTGTAGAAGTTGTGGTCCACATCTTAAATTTAGCATTTCTAATAAAGAGGTTGGCAGATTGAGGAGGGCGGCAAGGAACAGGTGGGACGGCAACGGTGCGAGCGGCGGGCGGGTGCATTGTGCTGGATTGGAAGGGGGGGCATAGTGACAATCCCAGACGGATTTAACGGAAAGGGCGACAACAGAGGTAACATTTGAAAGTTTATTAATCGACCACAGGTATCGAAGCTCATGGCCATCACTGTGTTTTACGAGTTTTTGGTTTAGTAATATAAATTCACGGGTTATTCTTTCACGGAAAATGAAACTCCAATCGGATCCGCCGTTATCTTCGGAAATAAAATTATTAGAGAATTGGCACTGTTTGAAGGGAGCGCGCAACATGTACCGCTCTCAGACTCGTAATTGCGCCCTTGTAATCTTCACTTTAGTTGAAAAGACCAAAAGATAACCCGACCCACTTATCTGGAAACGGATTTACACTGGATTTATAATGTGACTTGATTATTGAATTTCAAAGTTTTGTCGTCACAATGTCAATCTGTTGCCTCATAAAGTGGGTATTTGTGGATCACCAGCACCTGGTGGGAAAAAGAGGCACCCCATATGCAGTTTTCGCCAATAAAAACAAGGGATATATCTAGTCCAA